GTGCTCAACATCATTAATTGACAGAGAAATGAAAGTTACATCCATCTTGAAATACATACTAATATCATTAGAATGGCTAAATTAAAAAGATGTATGATGCAAAATATCAGTTAAAGCAACCAGAACTTTCAGACATTGTTAGGAGTATACAATGTTGTACAACCACGCTGGAAAAAGGTAGGACAATTTCTTCTAAAAATAAACCTTCTTACACCTACCCTATGAACCAGGGAAGACTAAGAAATTCACACATGAATGTTGTAGTAACTTTATTTATTTATCCTCAAAACTGAAACAACACAATGTCTATTAAGAGAACACAAAAATGTTCCTTGTTGCATACATACAATAGAGTACTGCTGGAAAAGAAAAAGAGACAAACCAACACATGCAACGCCCATAATCCCAGCACTTGGGAGGCTGAGACAGGAGGATCACCGTGAGTTCAAGGTTAACCTGGGCTACAAAATGAGCTCAAGACCAGCCTGAACTACACAGTGAGACCCTGTCTCAAAAAGAAAAAAAAAAAAAAACAATGTGATCAAATGTCAAATACATGCTACATGCAAGATGCCTCATGCACAAGAATATGGCTATTGTTTTTTGTCTCAATCTAAACTCATGTGGACTGGACTCCAACGTAAAGGTTGACAATTGTTAGGGTCTTTAAAAGGGACTCACAGTTTTAGCAGGAGTGAGTTCTCACATTCAAAGGACTGGGTAGGTTACCATGAAAGTGGGCTGGTATAAAGCAAGCCTGGTACCTTCCCTTTCTCCTCTCACACACATGTTCATCCACACATGTCCATACATCCACCATAACACGAGGCCTCACCAAAAGCACAGCAGGTGCCAGATTTATGCTCTTAGATCTCCAGAACTGTGAGCTAAATATACTTTTTTATAGAGTTCCCTGCCTCAGCAGTTTCTTAGAGCAATGCTGAACAGACTAAAACAAGTGCCTACTATATGATTCCACTTACATGATGTTCTTGAATAGGCAAAACCTATGTAAAACACAAAAAAGATGGAACCTCTGGAAAAATGGGGTGGGAATTTATTGAAGAAAATGAGGGAACTTTTGGGGTGATGATAATATTCAATAATATTCCATATCATATAAGTGTTTGAGATACATGGATGACAGGAGTATGTACTTGTCAAAGTCAGTAAGTATACAGAAGATTTGTACATTTCAGTATGGTTTATATATATGGTTTTTCAACATACTAGGGATTGAATGCAGGGATTCTTCACATATGCTAGGCAAGTATTCTCCCACCAAGCTAACCACACCCCCGGCCTATCAGTACACATAAATTTTTCTCAAAAAAGAAAAAAGACAAACAAATACTAAACTCTGGTAAAAGATGTTTAAAATGCTGAGTTACTTATAGCAAAATATGCTAACATTTACTGTTTTCTTTGAAATGCATAAAATTGGTAGGATAGAAAGATGACTAGATGGCCAGGTGTGGTGCCACATGCCTGTAATCCCAGCACTGAGGAGGCTGAGGCAGGAGGTTCACTGTGAGTTCGAGACCAGCCTGGGTTACAAAGTGAGCTCAAGGCCAGCCTGAACTGCATAGCGAGACCCTGTCTCGAAAAGACCAGGAAGAAAGAAAGAAAGAAAGAGAGAGAAAGAAAGAAAGAAAGAAAGAAAGAAAGAAAGAAAGAAAGAAAGAAAGAAAGAAAGAAAGAAAGAAAGAAAAGAAAAGAAAGAACGAAAGAAAGAAAGAAAGAAGAAAGAAACAAAGAAAGAAACAAAGAAAGAAAAGAAAGATGACTAGATGGACAAATAATAAAGCAAATTGAGTAAAATGTTAATAGCAGAATCTAGATGATGAGTATCTATGTTTCCACAATTTTTTCCTCACGTTTTTCTCTGTTTTTCTGGATATTTGGAATGTTTCACAATACAATATTTGAAAAAAAATTAAGCTGAAAAATACCCAGATATTGTGTTCAAATATATGTACAATGTCAATCAAAAGAATTACAATCTGCTCATCAAAAGGGGAAGTTGTGTGCTGTCTTTAGCTCTTAACTAGCTCCCAAAGCTTTATATGCTGAGGCTTTGTCCCCGGACAGTGCTCCTGGGAGGTGATGAAACCGGCCTTAGGCCACCAGGGCCATGCCCTCAAAGTGATATGGACCTCAGCCCCTTCCACTTCCTCTTGAGCTCCCTGGCCACAAGGTAAGCGGTTTTGTCCCACCATGTACTCCTGCCATGGTGTGCTGCTTTGCCGCAGGTCGCAAAGCCACAGCGCCAACTAATTAGGGGTGAGATCCTCTCACACTGGGAGGCAAAACGAACCTTTGCTCTGCACAAGTTGATTGCCTTAGGGATTTCATTAAGGTGAGGGGAAACTCACATGGTTTGCAGACACTGTTGCCTTGTTTCCTGATCTCTCACTCTTGGGTTCATTCTCAGATTGACAGCTCAGGCCTTGGCTTGTCCCTACTCTCATTCTGACTTGGCATTTCCCAGTTTCCAACAGTATTCTAACTACTTATGAACTACTAACTCCTTTGCATCTAGTCTTAACTAGTCTCTTATTAATGTTTTCTTCCTAGTTTCTTGGAAGTTTCCTGAAACTTCCTGTTTCCTGCTTCCAGATAGCAGGAAGTCAGCTTCAACAAATCCATCAATGAGTCAAGTGACACTGCTAATTGCCATTTAGGAGAAACTAATATTCAGATCTAATAACTTCTCTCAGGTTCTGTGGCAAGCGATACACAGATATATGATTTGATCAAGCTATGCTAACACTACTGTTCCTTTCAGCATTTGGAGAAGTATCACAGCCATAAGAAGAATTAGAGTAACAATAGTATTTATCATCGTCATCGATAATAATATTTATTGAGCACTTATTTCTGTGTCCTCATGAAAACCTCACCACCTTCTATGAAGCATCTCAATACTTTTAGCATAGGTACTCAAATATCATTGATTTATCAATGAACAGAGATAAATAAAAACTTTCACAGTAGCTACTATCTTTACTTAGAGATGAAAAAACTAAGGGTAAAACCTTTACTAAAGAAGGTCTCACACCAAGACAAAAATTTTACTATAGAGAATATAGGGGCTGGGGATTTAGCTCAGCGGCACAGCGCCTGCCTGGCAAGCACAAGGTCATGAGTTCAATTCCTGGTACCAAAAGAAAAAAAAATGGGGCTGGGGATTTAGCTCAGCGGCAAAAGCGCCTGCCTGGCAAGCGCAAGGTCGTGAGTT